CCTAGAAGGAGCTAAATCTCAAACATAGGAGGTAGTTAGAGTTACTCACGGATTATGACATGAGTATTCTTTACCACCTAATTAAGGCTAATGTGGTTGTTGATGTTTTAAGAAAGTTAGATATGGAAAGTACCACCCATGTAAAGCTAATGTGGTTCCTGATGTTTCAAGTAAGTTATAAATAGGAAGTACCGCCCATGTTGAGGAAAAAAGAAGGAGTCAGCCAAAGAGGTACACATACTTGCATGCCGTAAGTCACACTTATGGATTCTACAGAAGGACGGATAGTGGTGACCAATGGGGTTGAGTCATCATTAGTGTCAGAAATGAAAGAGAAGAAAGACAAAGACCTAATGTTCATAAGCAAAGAGTATTAGTTTTTTAACAAGGAGAAGATGGTGTGTAAAAGTATTAGGGTAGATTGTTTGTAGCTAGGGTGGATGGACTCCAAGAGAGGATCAAGGAGGAGTCTCATAACTGCAGATAATCCATTCATCCAGGTTCCACCACGATATACCGAGATTTGATATAGGTTTATTAGTGTGAAGGTATGAAGAAAGACATTGTTGAGTTTGTTGTCAAGTGCCTGAATTGCAAACAAGTGAAAGTAAAAAACCAAGGCATGTAGTGTTGGCTCAGGATATGGAAATTCTAGAATGGAAGTGGGATATGAATACTATGGACTTCATCACAGGCTTGCCAAGGTTTCGCAGTCAGAATGATTCAATTTGGATGATTCTAGATAGAATGACAAAAATCCACCCACTTCTTGCCCGTAAAAATCACTCATTTGGCAGAGGATTATGTGAAATTATACATTCAGGCTGTTGGGAGAATTCATGGAGTCCTAGTGTCGATAATATTATATAGAGGTGCACAATTTACATATAAGTTTTGGAAGTCTTTCAAAAAGGTATGGGTTCAAAGGTAAACTTAAGAACTTCTTTCCATTATCATACATATCGGAAAGAAGAGCGTAATATCCATACCTTAGAAGATATTTTTAGGGATTGTGTGATTTTTCAAGGGGAATTGGGATGATCACTTATCTCTCAATGAGTTCGCTAATAATAACAGCTTCCATTCGAGCATCAAAATGGCTTTATTTGAAGATCTTTGTAGGAGAAGATGCAGATCTCTTATTAGGTTGTTCTAAGTTGGTAAACCAGGGTGATAGGACAAAATCTATTTCACGAAGCCATGAAGAAGGTAAAGGTGATTCAAGAGAGATTGAAAGCGGCATAGATTCTCCAAAAAGTTCTACAAAGATGCTAGAAGAAGATCGTAGGAGTTTGAAATGGAGGATTGGGTTTATCTGAATGTTTCACCCGTGAAAGTTATTATGAGGTCTGGTAAGAAGGAGAAAGTTAGTCCCCAGTACAGTGGTCTTATGAATATCAAAGAGAGTTGGCGATGTAGCTTATGAATTAGAGCTACCACAAGTTTAGTACTGGTTCGTCCTATATTTTATGTCTCCATGTTGAAGAAGTGCATGGCTGATCCTCATTGATTCTACCAAATGAAAATGATGGAAATAAGGATAGATTTGAGGAAATTCCAGTTCATATTTTAGATGACTAAGTTTCCAAGATGAGAACAAAGGAGGTGGCATAAGATAAGGTTCTTTTAAGGACGGAAGTAGCATACTTAGGGTTCATTCGAATCCTCTTCGACGGAAAATATTATTATTTATACATGATTAAATTATTTTTTAAATATGTATAATAGATGTTTGACCCCCTTGTACTAATACACGGTTCAACTTCTCAGATTTTGAACCCCCTAATCAAAAAAATCTATCTCCGCAACTAATCTCAATGAATTAAAAAACTACATATTTGTTTGATCATAAAAGCATACTTTCACATATCCTCATAGAGTAAGATGCTTTTATAATGGATGATCCTTAAAATCATAATTTGTTGATATTACCTTTATATATAAGAGAGTAAGAGAGGACGAACATGGCATCATATAATAGTACAAAAAGCAGTCTAAAGTGTACCGTGAATGCTTTAATTTTTTGCTCCAACTAGCCTAATCATCATTTCCATAATCCTTTTATATCCACGTGTAAGAAACTCAAACCATCTGTTTCCTTTGATAGTTTGATTTTGGAATTAGTGAAATGGTCAGTAGACCTTTGTACTTCTATCGGTTTGTATTTTGAACCCCTTCGACTTATCTATTTGTCATCTTGATCCTTAGACTCAATAAAACATAATTTATCGAACCCTTCTGACCATTGACCACACTTATGTGGCTTTAAGATGGATGAGTTGGCAAAAGTGTGTGATTACACACTCCTTAAGGCGAGTGAGTACTATATTTCATTTTTAAAAATGTTAATAAAAATATAAAATAATACAAAAATTAAAAAATAATTAAGAAGATCACATCTTATTTACCATATTCCACTTCAACAACAACCATCTCTGTGCCCAATTCTTTGTTTATCTTCTATACTCTTGTCATCAGATCTTGACATTGAAACCTTCTTGACTCCGTTTTTTCGCCTCTAAAGGGAGAGGACGATAGTAGTGGTGCTCGTCGGAGAAAGTTCGGAGGCGATGGCTAGGTTTGAGGATCTATTTACAACATTGAAGAGATCTTGTCCAGATATAGTGGTATGGCGTCGACGTTGGTAGTTTCGTGATTGTGTCGAAGCGACAGCCAGATCGGGTGGTGTGGCTGCGGCACCTTCAAAATATATTTTTTTTCTTTGGTTTATAATATGGTGTCCTTCACTTAGTTTTTAATCCTCATTTCTACAAATTTGTGACGTAATAAATTTGAAATTTTTGATGGGGTAAAAATAATTGTTAAATCAATATTTGGATATATTGAGATATTTTAATGGCGACAAAATTTGCATTAATGGATAAAAGATGTTTATGAAGTTTCAAGTGATGAATAAAGTTTGAATAATTATTATAACTTAAATTTGTGAATGATGAAAACATAAAAATTAATGGTGATTTTTGTGATATAAGAAAGTGGTGCTAACGGTGAAGATGATGATTGTGATAGTGACATCTAATGTAAAAAATGGAGACATGGTTAAAGAAGAATGAAAGAGGAAAGAAGAGACAAAATATTTTCTTAAAAATAAATAATTAATGATGTGTCATTCGAAATCTGATGTGGATGACGACATGTCACTTTTGTTGAGCGTTTGAAGCTCAGACAACGCGAAGGGGGATTAAAATTTTGACATTCGTTGAGTCTAAGGGCTCAATTGATAAATATTTAAGTAGAATGGTCAAGAATACAAATTTATACAAGTATAACGTTCCACCAGACCATTCCTCCATACAATCTTTTATTACTTTCTCTTCCGAGCCTTGAAATTTTTATGTCTTTTTAGCATTTTTTTCTGGCATCTGTTTTTCCTCTTCAATTGTTTATGTTTATTGTTTGTGATGATCATAAATATACCTACTTTTATCAATCAATCTCAAATGAATATTGGTTTTCAGTTCTTCAGCGGTATTTATTACATTTTTTCGATTTTGCTATGATTTTGTTAATGATGTTTCTAGTTTTGTGTGATTCATATTCAGAGATGCTTGAAAATTGGTGTTCGTTCCCCTTATTATTATTCTCACTTCTATATTTTTTCCTTGGCAAGTTTACATTTTTGATAGTCACAATATGTTGGGTATTTTGTTTTGTGCTTCTTTTATTGTGCATTTTCTGCTTTTTAAATAGTTTATGGTAGAATTTTGTAATTTTATGTTTCTAGCTGGGTTTTATTTACTCATGCATGTTTAGCTTTTGATTTTATTTGTTTCACCCTTCTTCTTTATGACACACCGCTAATTTTTTTAGCTTTTCTTAATTAATGTGATTCTTGATATGTCACTTAAAATGATCTTTTTTAAGGATGGGAGGAACTGGATAAAAATGGACCTATACATGTTCTTCTCGAAGCATTGATTGACAATAAAATTTTATGTTATAATCAAATAAATATGCAGAATACATTATACATATTCAAATAGGAAACTCCAAATATTTGTAGGTACTATATGATAGAGATGAAAAAGTGAAGATATTTGAAAAGAATTTTATAGGATGGTTAAGATTCAAGAAATTAAATGATGCAATGTCGGAACATGATGATGCTGGTGAGGGATAGACAAGATTTGCTAGAGGAACTCGACAAGTTATTACTCATGGAAGAAATGAAAGCAAAAGTTGTTGGGTTCCAATCTTAGCGCAGGTCTGAAACTCAAACCATTCATACCATCAAAAACAACAAAAAGTGTGTCTTCTTAACTTCCTACAGTTAAGATTTGGTTCTGTCCCCTGACTTTTGAATTTATATTGATTGAAATTTAATGTGACATAGATTTTACTATTTCCTCATTTCCTTCAATGTGCTTATGTTTTCCAGTAGAAAAATATATCTTCCTCATTTGAAAATTTTAGTACTGAAAAAGACAAATAAGTTTGGATTCTCAGATAATGATATAGTCTCACTTGGCAAAGTTGTTCGGACTTTTCATTTACGTTAACACATCCGTGTCGAATTCTTCAAAAATACATTACTTTTGGAGAATGCAGTTCATACGCGTTGTAATTTTTGAAGAGTTCAAGAAACAGTCACTCGGTAGTGAGAACAATCAATAGGATAAATGGAATTAACTGGCAAAGATAGTATGTGGTTATTCATATTTTGTTGTTTCCTCAACGTTCCTGAAAAATAGCTAATTTTATATGTGTTTTCTGTTAGATAACTTGAAACAACTTTAGCTTTAACCTCTTGATATCAGTTGATTGTATTCGAATTTGATATTTCGTCTTTTTGAATTATTGTCGAGAAATATGAGAGGCTACGAGGACTCTATTTAGTGTTGTTATGATTACATAGGTTTGTCAGTTTATAAGTGATTTTCTATTTTCCTTTAGGTGTGAATTATAATATCATTTTCATGAGATCTCAGCTATTGTTTCTCTCTCACTTTCACACACAGATTTTTTGTGTTTAGTAATTGGGGATGTGATGAGATCTTGAGAAAGCCATGCGCCACTCTGATTTTAGTGATGTCAAATTTCTCATACCAATAGACCTTTCTGAGTTTTTAAAAAGTTCATTTGCCTATGAGAACTAAAACAAGTGAGCATATATATATTTATTTTTACTGCAGAACACATGTTATTCTATTTTATTAGGCTTTAGCTAAAATTAACAGTTGTTAGTTTCTTCAATACTAAGTTTCTACAGTTTCATTTTAGTGAAACAATAGAGTAAAGGATGATCTAGCAAGTTCCAAATAAAAAATAAAAAGACTATATGAAAAAATTCACAGTTATCATGATCTTCAGTTCCCTGGAATTACATTTTGCATATTTAGAAATGTTTACAAATATGATATAATGTATCGTGCACATTTCAATAATCGCTGCACTAAGAAGCTATAATAGTTAAATGTAAAGCAGGGGTGTAGTTATGTCAACTTAAAGAAAGCACAAGCCTGGACAAGCTGAAGGTAAAACTCAACATGTTCTCGAGATCACTAGAAACCATTTATGTTCTTCTACTGGATGATGTACAAAATTAAATTTTCTGAGTATACATTTGAGGTGCCTGATGTGTCTGAGTTATCTTATTTTGAATTGTCTTTCTCCTTTTTATATCATTCCAGGAAAATCTCTAAAACAACTAATGATCGTGCTTGAGTGAATAGCCCGAATGGTAGAGTGGGACTATTATCTCAGGTGAGCACTGTCCTCACAAATTTCAAATGCAATGTGGTTAATGTTAATGTGTGTACTCATAAAGCCTAACAACAGCTAGGTGAGGAAATGGGAGATAAATTAATGATCCGAAAGAGTTGTCTATGATGAAGCAACTATTGTATATTGTACTTAGATGTAGCGATAAATTAAGAAATTTCAAGGGTCTCTCATATACCGAGAGAAGACAATCACTAACTAACGTTTGCATACCAAGATTATTAATGTGCTTTTGGTGAAGGATTGAATGAAAAAAAGAGGCCTAATGTGAGTGTCCTTAATTGGTAAGATAAAGACTACTCTATTGTGACATTCCAGTGTAAGGAAAGACCAAAGATTCTTAGTCTTGAAAGTTTTCATGCAGCATAATCTTAACTATAAGTCAAGTGATTGATGGAATTTTGACAATTTTCCCCTTATTTTGATGACTTTTTTTAACTATGTGAAGTTTCAGCAAGGATGACTGAAAATTGATCCTCTCTTTTGTCCCTTTCTAAAGGTTTCTTCATATAAACAAAGAAAATTTATTTCACAATTTAATACGCTGCTGAAATAGTTGATGGTTCAATTTATTACATTTAATAGTTTATTTCTACCATGAATCTTTGTATGTTTTTATTTGTTGAATTCATATACATTAATTAAGATTATTATGAAGTGTGTTTCATTTCTCAAAGTTTTCTTTCTCCTATTTCATTAAGCTTAATTTTTTTACTATAAAACATAGTGATTGATGTATCTATTTCAACTTATTTTTGCAATTTTGATGACATTTTTTAGTTATGTTTAACAGACCAGTGAGGATGACGAAAATTTATAGGGTTGTGCTATATTTGATAGCACCTAACAACATATATTTGATAACTAATGCAGAACAAATGATGAGGTTTGTTAAAAGAAGTAAAATGATTTCTCTCTTTCTATCCACAATTAGTATATTATTCTCACTGTTTTTTCTTGGGTACAAACATTTGTATATCATTGCACTATTCCTAGAATATTTATATAGAGACAATTAGTCCATATTTTTTATTGCAAGTTAACTAATTTTTTATATTTCTTGTTTTCTTCTTTTTAGGCATAGAAGAGATCAAATTGTTTTTGAAACTAACAAATTTCAAAATACACTATAGAAAATATTAGTTTTCGGTAATAAGTATGCACCTCCACAAAGAGTACTATAGCCTTTACCGACATTAATAAATTGTCATTTGATTCAGTGTTGCTATAGACTTCATGGACATTTACACGGAGTATCAATTTCCTCTTAGAATACATATTTATCGATAATTAAGCTATTAATTATCGTTAAAGATCATTTTTTGTAGTGATAACTCATTCCCCTTTGATTATGTTTTTAGTGTTTTTTTCATAAATAAGTAACAACTCTTTAGTTTAGCTTCTTTCAACAAATTTTGTGAACCTTAAATTTAAAAACAACCTGAAAGACTATCTTTTTTGAAAATATATGCAGTAACATGTCTTTTTCTTCTTTATTGCTTAGAAAGAAAGATCGTCTTTATTACATTTTTTCATATTTGTGAGTTCAAGAGCTCACACAATTATGTTGTGAGATTTTAATAAGTTATATGTCAAAAATTTTGTTTAGTACATCCTGTTGTACACATTCAGATGTCACCTACTGCTTGGTTGATAATTGAATTAACTTTTTGCAAATCCATATTATAATCATAACAAGAAATTTGAGTGATTCTACTGTCTTAGTCCTCGACCTGCAAACATGGCGATGTAGAATCTGGACAAGAATCACCTCATAAGGTAAGATATAATTGATCCCAATATCTTCAATTTTTATGATTAATGAAGGATCGCCCATGAACTTCTTCAACATGGAGATGTGAACTGCTGCATGAACTATGGATAACTCTATTGGTAGGTCACTCATAAAATACATTACCTATTTTTATAAGGGTCGATATATTGAGGACCAAGCTTCTCCTTCTTACAAAATACCATAGCACCTTTAATGGGTGAAACTTTCAAATATACCCAATCATCTGCTTCAAAGTCTAAATCCATTCTTCTTACATAGGTGTAGGATTGGACTCTATGTCATTTTGAACCTCTCTTGAATCACTTTCAGCATCTCCATAGCTTCATTATCTAAATGAGGTCCTATCAACCCTGCTTGACTAAATTCAAAACCATCTAATATGAGATTTGTATCTTCTTTCATAAAGAGCTTCATAATAAGCCATTTGTATAGTGCTAACTATTATTGTAAACAAATTCAATAAGAGGTAGGTGATCATTACAATTACCTTTGAAATAAATCACATAAGCCATTGACATATCCTCTAAGGTATGAATAGTGTGCTCTACTTGACCATTTATCTAAGAATGAAGGCGAGTACATAAGTTAACCTTTGAACTCGAGCCTTGTTTGAATAACATACAAAATTGTGTAGTAAATTTCTCATCTCTGTCTGAATAATAGTGAGAAAAACTGCATGAAGTCTAACCACTTCTTGAAGATACAGCTTGGCATAGTCCTCTGGTGAATGGTAGTCTTTACTGGAAAAAAGTGGGTTAATTTTGTCATTCTATCAAGAATCTCCCAAACTGAATCATGTTGCGTGCAAGATCTTGGTAAAGCTAGGATAAAATCAGGATCAATGATCTCTCACTTCCATTCTGGAAGTTCTATATTCTAGGCCATACTACAAGGCCATTGGTCCTCTACTTTAAGTTGTTGGAAATTCGAACACTTAGACATAAATCATAAAATGCCCTTCATACTACTCATCCAATACTTCTATTAAATCGTGATACATCTTTGTGGAACCCGGATGAATGAAATATCTAGAGCTATGAACTTCCTTTATGATGCATTATTTTAGTTCAGCACTCTTGCTACACATAATCTAACTTGATACCTTAATATGTCATCTCTCCCTTGTTAAAAATCCATTACTTTTTTCTTATAAACATTTGTCTTTAATTCCTAAAATATTGGTTCTTGATCCTACATTTTTTTTTAACTTTTGACACTAACGAAGATCTAGCCCCATTAATCACCACTCCTCTTCTATCTGTGGAATCCAATAAATGAACTCCCAAGCGTTCAAGTCTATGCCCAACCTTTGCAAGTTCATTCTTATCTATCTCAAAGTAGGCAGTACTAGCCATAGACAACCTGCTCAAGGCATCAGAAACAATATTAGCCTTAACTGGGTTGTAAAGAATACTCATGTCAAAATCCTTAAGTAATTATAACCACCTCATTTGTCTAAGATTGAGATCTTTTAGAGAAAATACATACCGAAGACTTATAATCAATGAATACATCTACATGAACACTATACAAATAACGACGTCATATCTTCAAAGCAAATACTACGACATCCAGCTCAAAGATATGAGTTGAAGATGAAGAAAAACCATTCACGTGAGGAAGTCCTGGTTAAGATTTTTGAGAGAAAAGTTTAGGAATTGAGAAACAAGAAGTAGCGTGTGCCAAAGCGCTATGAAGGAAATCATATCGTGCTGGGTGCTACTTTGAGGTCAAGGCTGATATGATGTCCCAATATCCATACTTTTTCCTTCTACTTTTAATCTAGCTTGAGGTGATGAGTTCCTCTTGACTTGTGCTATGTTTCAGATTCATGTGTTTTATGTGTTCCCATGATTTCCTTATGTTATGCATTTTCATGAAAAATTTGTGTTTTGAAGAAAATAAGTTTACATGATTGATTATCCTCATCATGTTGTGCAATGAGTGTGAATTCCCTATAGACTCCAGAAGATGATATGATGAACATGTTTTAGCTATGATTTTGAGTGTGAGTTCCCTATAGACTTCAGGAGATGATATAATTGTGTTTTGCATACTTTTTGCTTGGAGAAGGAAGCGCCTCTTTGAAGATGAGGAATTTTAAAATTTCTTACATTTTGGTTTGTTAAAGATGAGGAATTTTAAAATTTCTTAAATTTTGGTTTGTCAGGTGTTTCACGTACTTTCATTATAGTACATTGAGTATGTTTAGCTTGGAGTTAATGTTTCATCCTCAGTTGTGGAAATTTTTATATGTTTCATGCATGAAGGGTTGCTAGTCTTGAGGTTTTTCCATTAGAAATGTCTAGAATCTTACCCGAGGACACGTTTTCCCCAGAGGGAGATAATGAAACACCTCAGAATCTAGAAGGCAAAACTAGGGCTAATTGAGAGGGCAACATCCAAAAAGGGAGGAAGATTGGGAAGACATCACCAAGAACTACCTCACCTCACATGACCACCATAAAGATTCGTGGTGAGGACCATGATTCATGGAGAGGTTTGTGGAGGGATACGCAGTATCTAGGATACTCAGCACCGAACAAGGAC